ACTACCCTCTTACCTTGATGTATGCATTAGGATAAATTTTGTGAACTGCATCCCCTGGTGCTCGTCCAGCCTCACGATCTAAATAATAACTTTGTACAAATACTGCATGGTCACTAAGACAACGAACCCAAACATCGCCCTCGCCCCGTAGATCTAATTGCACTCCTCTGCCAATATGTAACCTAAATAAACGATTATTAAAAATAATAAGTTGATTCTGAAACAATTCAAAAAATACTGACTAAAACAATTCTGACAAAAATGAACAACAATAAAGTCATCATAATTACATAAAAATAATAATTAATATTCATGTTTCTCAATTAATACATATACATAATTAATCTAAATGTTCCTTAAAGAATTATATAACATGAATCGTATAAAAGTTCTTAAAAAAGAAAAATACTAGCCAACATGTTACTGTATTAATAAGCTGAATGTCCCTTACAGAATATTATAATATGAACTGTATAAAAGTTACCAAATAATAGTGCAGTAATATATAGATGCAAAATAAAATACTAGCCAGAATCTGATTTAAAAAAGGCGACACAATACTGCATTTGTTGAATGATACTCATAACATATCTGTTTACTACACTTATCTAATTGACAGATCATGGAGAACATATTACTAATATTTGGTTCTCATGTCTTTGTTATGTTCACTTATTTCTATGCCTAAAAATTATCTATTTCTGTCAAATTTTACCTTATTTCTTGAAAATTACACTTTTTAATTACTCCAAATTTGAACTCTGTTAACTTTTCATGGTGATTTACAAGTTCCCAAAATAGAAAATGACCAGATAAAAATTGTTTGTGCTATTGTGACCACAAGAAGAAGGCAATTTTAAATGAAATTTAACCAATATCATGACAAATATACATAGAACACAAAACCAAGATCCCGAATTTGAAAATAGATAAAATTGTTATTGTAACTACAAGAAAACATTTACGACATCAACGATGATAACATGAATTAATACTCCTAAATTTTCGGGAAAGTCACAACATGCTCAACTTTCTAATACAGCGCCACCTAGTGTTATAATTTCATTACTTTTGTTTTTTCAAGTTTACATACCTAGCTCTTTCACTAGCTTCTGTTCTGTGTACATTTGACAATTGTCCTAAACAGAATCTATCGCCCCCAGATGGATCAACATAACCATCAACTGTAACAGTCGGACAACTTGACGGAACTTTGAAAATTTCACCGACTTGTTGATCAAGCTCAAAATATGCAATGGAACACCAGTGTTCAGGGCCTGGAAAAGAAATTGATACAAATCATAGGCTGTTGATATGCAAGAAAACAATTTTGAATTATGCTTTTTTTAATTGCATCATTGACGTATAACCATGATAGTGTAGAAACAAGGCTGAGATAAAAATGAAACACCATCACATATAAGTCTGGCTATTCTGTATTCTGTCTACACACAAGTACTCACCTGGATGGTTGGATAAAGCCTGACTCAGAGCAGCATCACTTTGCATCTGAGAGTTCCCTTGCCAGAATGGACCAGAGGGAGGGATGTTAGCAGATAGATGAGCTTCCATTGTGCCTCTGTAAGCTCTGGTGTTATCTCCTGCCCATGTTGTTGTATTTCCTGCAATGAATTATGGGAATATGAGAACGAAATTAAGCAAGTAATTATATTATAACACACTAATTTGCATATCGCCAATGAAAATATCACTTAACTATTGCAAACTGGAAGATTCACTGCTCTAAAACCAATATGTAGCAATATTATTATATGACACTCATTATGAATATCATGTAGATTGATAAGGACACTAAATAAACAGACGGGATTATGCTTTTCTTCGCTTAATTGCATTTTTCGCTATTTTCCGGGGCACAGCAAAATATCCTGCAGTTCACAGACAGAATATATCAAACCTTGTTAGATAAAGTTACACATAAATGTAACAAATACAAACGAATTATGCAGTCCCTAGAT